ATTTATTATTTGTAGGTCTATTGTTTTATTGCATTTTAATTAATATTTATTCTTTTTCTGTAAATCACCCAGAGTTGCTTCTAGGGAGATGGGCAATGGCAAATGTGAAATATAAATAAATAGATAGATAGATAGATAGATAGATAGATAGATAGATAGATAGATAGATAGATAGATAGGCTGTAGGTAGCAAGACTGGTGCTGATTAGCCAAAACTGCCAGCTGCTAATTGCTTATTATACAATGCTGGGAAAACTCCAAACTATTTATATAAATTGTTTTTGTAAACCACCCTAAGTGTCACCCTAAGTGGTGACAAGTTAGGGTGACATAGAGATAGAAAATCAATCAAGGAGTCACAAATACACACTGTAATGCTTTGGGAAGGGTCCTGATCAAAACTGCCCAGCATTAATGGAGCAAAGGTGCCTGCAGGAGGGAGTGTCAAAAAAGTCAAGATGGTGGCTGCGATTGAAGCTCTGTCCTTTTTTTACACGTGTCACCCCCTTCTCCCACTAATTCTAATTTGGTACCGTTCAAAAGGGCCAACAGTTTTGGAGGGTAGTTGACCTATTGATGAGAACACAATGCTGCGAGACCTGCCATCTTTTATACCTAGCCTGCTGTTCTATAGAACAAGTACACCAGGAGCACAACAATTCTAACATTTTGGCATAATGCCCCTGACATGCTATAGAAATCCTAGCGTGGCCTTTGAGTTGACAGAAAGTCCACATTCCTGGTTTATGCATTTGCACTGCTTTTTGCAATGCAAATAACCATCTAAGGCTGTGATTCTACACTTCTTGAAAGTTTAATTCCCCTGAAATCAACTTAGGCCTATAATACATAATGGTAAACTCAGTTTATGGACAAAGGTACACTCAAAAGAAATTCAACTAAGTGGGGCTTTCTAGGAAATGAGCTTTCATGAAACATATGTTTACAAATATATATTTGTCATATTGACATATGATAGGAGTACCTGTAAAATATTTTCAACATGAGTTCTAAATATAAAATGCATAAAGAAATCCATGCTTAGCAGTAGATGCCAAATATCAGAATCAGGATCTTAGATGGCATATGGAATTACTGCAGCTAAATGCCCCTTACATTTCTTTACAAATTCCTTGCCTTGGGAGAGAAGAAATCCCCCTTTCCCATCTCTTGGCATAAGACAGCTATGTGTAACTTGATTAAGGTGGGAGTAAAGCAGGTTTGTTGTTTCAGATCCTGTGCTGTGTGTTGCCTTTGTATGCAGAACTGTTCCTAAACCAAATGCTCTAGAGAGATGTCTTTTTGCCCTAATCCTGCTGACTACAGCATGTTTATCTTTCCCAGATATGCTATCTTCATCAATTTTACCAGCCCCCTGATGATTGCACATGTTGCTGTCCCCATGCATCATGCCAAAACCCGCTTCTGAACTGGAACTGAAAGAGAAATTTGTCATAAACTCTTCTGTTGGCTTGACAATAGCAAGCCTCATATTTCATGAAAATAAAGTGCCTAGAGCACTCCCAATAGTTTACAGTTGTGATGAAGAACCGTCAGAGAGTGTGTCAGCCATTAAGCAGCCTGGAACTCAGCAGCTCTGATAAGAACACAGAAGCCGGTGGGCCCTTCTGGGTGTCAAATACTGTGTCATCAGGGTAAAGGATGCTGTTCTGAGCAATGCCTTCCTGAAGAGGAACAAGTCCTTTCTTGGGAGCTTCCTCCTGTGACACAAGATCTCCTTGTCATCTATATTTGTTCTCAGATACCATTACTGCTTGCTTGGCAGGTCAGAAGTGTCAAGCATCTTTCTTTAAGGCGCTTGGATGCAGTATGACATTTCTACTGAGAAAATGTTGTGACCTAAGGACTCAAAACATGTCCCTTTCCAATCACTCATAGAAATCTGCAATCATGTTGGGGGGTAAGGAAGGAGATCACTGATCTTGAAACATTCCCACTCATCCATTTTGACCAGAAAGCCTCTTTACTCCAGCCTATGCATCTTTCAAAGTGTTTCCTATTCAGGATGTGAAATGCATATTTGCTTAATTCAGATCACTGAATCCCCTACTCAGAATGAAATTGTACCTGAAGGTCTTGAGACTGCAACCCTGAACACACTCATGAGAGAGAAAGTGCCTATTTAACACCAAAAAAGAATACTGCTTATATGACATCAATCTTTGCAGTAAACCATTTTGAATAATTTCAAGCGAAACAGTGAAGGAAAGGCATATTGCTAGCCAGCCAGCACCTAGAGGAACACACCCCAACTCCTATACAGAAAGTGGCTGCATCACTTTCTGTATTTCCAAGGCAATGAAAATCACACACCTAAAGTTGTTGCCTTGTGCCTACTGTGAATTCATAATTTGCCCAAACAGTTGTTGGTTGTCAAATTCTAGAGTCAGTCAGTTCAAGTGCTGAATACACTCCTTCCTTTATGAGTTACCTGAGTCGGTGGAGACGCTGATGGTAGGGTCTCTGTTTCAGTCTTGACTTTACTCCGTTTATTAATTACTGGATTGACTGTGCTGCTAACGGCTGACTCACTGCTTTGCTTGTTCTAGTAAAGCAAGAATAAAATGGGGGTGAGTTAGGTGGTCATATCAACACGCTTAAGCAAACGCATCATAACATTGTAATGTAGCAATTTCAGATGACTGGTAAGCAGCTGCTGTAGATCAAGATGAAAATGAATTCAGGGAAAGAAAAAATGGGGGGCTCCTCTTTTAAAGCCTGCTTGCATTTTCAAAATGATATGCTCAATGTTGTGCTCAATGATACAAGAAATATTCCTTGTAATGTATTTCACCAGAAAATGTACACTACTATTGTTTGTCTATGAAGGATAGTTTCTAAGGTAGCACGAACAGCCTGCAACCCCAAGGTCATGGGAGTGGTGGTCACTTAATATCTCGGGTCTGGCCCTCAGAGCTCCCCAATGCTGTTGATAAATTTTACATTTTAATACATTAGTAGAGGAAAATTATTATCCATGTTGGAAACAATTCTGTGAGTTGTGTTTGCTTGAAATTAAATCAAATATCATCTAGGCCCACCCACTTTGGGGAGTTTCAGCACAAAACCTCATAGTCAAATGCCAACTTTGGCCTGACATTTGTTGTTTCCCCTAGTTTATGGTTCAGCTGCTACTGAGGAATAAATCTATTTCTCCATTAAAAAGAAATCCTTTGGATTGCAAACATTTTACAGTGTTATTTTGCACACCCTTCCTCTGATGAATATCCACATGGCAACACAATTACTTGAACTAGCTGCTTCAATACAAATTGGACTAACTGTATGCATTTCACCAAAGCTGGAAACTTCAGTTTACTCTGACTGATTCATCTGCACAATGGAGGGAAATAGCTGCATTCTTTCCAAGAAGATACATTCAGCCTTCACATGCCAACTGAAAGGCGCTCTCTTACCAGAATGCTATCTTGTGTGAGAAGGGCAAATACACACGTTACGTTAATCTTGTACTAATGCATCTGCTTTATAATCTGAGGATCAGTTCATCTCATGGCAGGTCACTGCAGATCATCAGCACTCGCTGCTAGGGAGGCATGATCATTGGGACACTGTTGGCCTCACGAGATAAACCAGATAGGAATCACAACTAGATGAGCTAATTCTACTTCATTGTAAGGCTACATTAACAGAATCAAGTCTGAAAGTACAATTCTCTCCCTGTCTCCTTTACACCCCAAGAAATCAGGGAGGGTTTCTTCTGAGACTCTTGCCCTTCCCACTATCTAGCTGTGGGCTATGCCATCTCTTATCTGGCCATTCCTTTGGCAGTGTCTCTTTGCCCTGTCTCCCAAGGTCTTTCCTACATACATTACAGACAGAGTTGGCCAAGGGTGAAACAAGGTAAGACAGAGCACTCTATGAGGGGGACCAGAACTGGGAAGACTGGGGATGCCAGTGATTTAAAATGAAAAGCCAGGATTGTCATGAGTGAAACCGACAGGGCAATTAAAAAATATTAATGTTAAGAGACCCATCTGGGCTTTCTGAAGGTGCTTTCAACAAAGCCACCTGAAACCTGGCCAGAAGCTGATGAGGATCCTACCTGGTTAGACTCAGCGATGCAGTTGCTGCTGTTGCTGATCTGAGCAGGAGAAGAATTGACCGAGATGACTGCCACATGCTGCCGGGCAGGGAAAGTGGGGGAGGGCTGTAGGAAAGGAGGGGTGTGTCCAAATGCCGAGCTGAGGCCTCTTTGCTGATTCAGAATCTGTTGGTATGTCACTGGGTTGATCGGATGAGGGAAGGTGAAGGCAGGACTGGAGAGAAGGAAGAAAGACAAAACTGGATTGGTGGAGCCCTTAAGAATTACAGCAAATTCCTGAAGGTCGCTAAGGACAGATGTCACGTGTTGCAGTCAGCCTGGGTGGATTTCTTCTTCCTCTTCAAGAAGTACACAAGCAGCGTTGTCTGCCTTGCTTCTGAATTTTAAAAACTTTGCAGAAAAGGCAGAACTAACCCACATGAGCTGGATCCATAAAGAACAATAACTTTAGATTATTATATTTTCTTATGGCGCATTCTGCTTTCCTCCAGGAATCCCCTTAAGGCAATTTCCCTTGATTCCATGCTTTTTTTTTTTTTTGGTCTTCTGAGACTTATCAATCTCACTGGACCTGGCCTTTGTCAGCTGCACATTATCTCTTTGCTGACCATGAATTACACATGGGCAGTCCAAGATTCCCAAAGGAACCACTGTTGATGGGCACTGGAGACTTTTTGGAGGTATGAGTCATTCAAGGTCAATATTTCTGTTGAGATATTGTGTACTGTTTACTATGATTTCCTGACATTATTCAGTGGCCCTGCTGCTTCTGCTACTTGTATCCTTCAGGGAAGGAATTATGCAGGTGGAAATTACTGCTAACTATAAATTAGGAATTAGGTTAATGAACATAAAGAGCCCCTAGAAGAACCCAGCAAAGTGCAAGGCTCTGATGATGCTTAAAAATAATATTTCCTCATATTACCAGGAAGTGTGACTCTCATTTCAATTATTTTTTTTTATCAGTAGTTCATCTAAGGATTGTAACATTTAAAAAAATAATCAGAGAAAATAATTTAAATAACATTGCTCAGTTGTTGATAACTTGGGTAAATAGATACAAACTTTAAATAATTGTTTACAATAGGCAGAGACACTCAGTTTCGGAAGAACACAGAATAATCCACTTGGGACACACTCACTTTCAACTAAATGAAAAAAGACCCTCTCTCTCTGGGTTCCTGAAATCAGGGAGCAGCTTCATCTCTGTACACCTATACGGTAAAGGCCTTTGGAATCAGTTTGCACACAGGATGTCTGGACAAGTTCCATTTTTAACACTTTGGTTTTTAATAACCAGACAAAAACAGTTGATTGAGTGTGAGAGAATGAAAGTGTTTATTCTGGGCCTGTTGCTTTGAGATGGAAATGGAAAAGTTGAGAATTTCAACCTGGGGTGTTCCAACTTCCCTTACCTTATTGCCCCTGCTGATAAATGGCCATAAGAGCCACTAGCTGCAGAACTACTTCTGGAATTATTGATATATGCCACCAGGGAATTGGGCGAAGTTCGGATCATGGTCTGGAGATCAATGCTGGCATCAGACAAGGGCGATATAGAAAGTGCTCGTTTCCTGCTTAGTCTTGGTGTTACTCTTGGGCTGGAGAATCTTGACACTGTGTGAAATGAAAAGAAGAGATGTCATGATTCCAGATTAAAAGAAGCAGGTTTTCAGTCTTTTTAAAACAAATACCCCAACACAATTAAAGTAATTTAAAATCAGATACATTTACAATTTGAGTGCTATTTTATGGATGTTCAGTAAGACTAAGTGCCTTTGGGCATTCTGGATGATAACCTCAGTTGTTGTTGTTACAGCAGTGACCACGAGTGACTCCTGATCTTGGATGAAAGAAAGAGAAGAGTAGTATGCTACTCTCTAGTGCTCTCCAGCGATGTGAAATGGAACATCTCCAAGGCATCCCACTAGGAGTGTCTACAGGTGGGGGTCAAAAAAGTCAAGACTGTGACCACAACCACTTGATTGAAACTCTGCCCCCTTTTTACTGGTGATGCAGGTGCTAGGCATGTAAAGAGGCAGGGCTTTGACCCAGCTGCCCTCTTGACTTTCTTGACAACCACCCTACAACTGCCACTGCCCCTTTTTACAGAGTATTAAGACAGTATAATCCTCTTGATATGAGATTAATGCTTACTGTTAATGATATAATCTTCTGGGTGCCTTTGCTGATTCTGAAATGCACTTCCCAGAGAAGTTTAGCTGGTACCTCCCTTGATACCATTTTGATGTCAGTACAGACTTAAGGGGAAAAAAAACAAAAACCCAGGTCTTTTGACTCAGTGATCTAATCAGGCTTATCTTTGGTCTCTTGGTTTTATATAGCATTATTAGGTTTTGTTGTTGACTGATTTGTTGCATGCGTTGTTAATTTGCTTTCATTCTGGTTGTAAGTTGCCCTAAGAAGTTAGGGTGGCATGTAAATGCCTTGCATACATTAAGAAAAAAGACACACTAAGGTTGTTGGTGACACAAACATCTTTGATCCTCACCTTCTTAACCCTTCCATAAAAGTGGTAAAAAGTGAAGATGTACCATAATAAACACCCATGCTCAAATACTGTAAAAAGATATGTATCAATATAGTGGCCTTAGGCAAACCCGTGCTGCCATTCTCCTGTTCTGTATTTGCTGAACTCAGGACCTGCCCATGGTTAAAGCTAATACCAGTAACCCACATAACCCAAAAAATCAAAGGAAATGAAGTAATTATTTTACATACAGCGAAAAGGTAGGAAAGTCAGATAAGTAAGTACAAGAGATCTTGAAGAATTTTCTTTGGGTTGTCACTACAAAAACAAAACCCCCCCCACTAACCTGATTTGCATATCCCAAACTAATTTACAGATCAGAACATGTTCATCCAATAAGCTGTTGATGAAATATGACTCTGAAATAGGTTAAAGACCCTATGATTAATGGATGCAGAATGTAGATAAAAGATTGATATGCTGCAGTGGGAATTTCAATGAAAGAAAAGCATTACATTCACACCAAATATTTTACTAGAAAAAACTGGTGTGGGATGTTTTACTGCTGGTATATTACTCCGGTAGTGATTGCTAAAATGGACAGTTCATTTTCTAAAACTGGTTGGAAATGTAACAATTAGCTTGGCTCATATGTATGTATGTATGCATGTTGTGCACCAACTACTTATTTAGCGACTACTTTGGTTAGCGACCATTCACAAATACGACGGTAATAAAAAATGCATTGTCTGATCAAATTTTGTGTGCCTGACAACAATGTACACTGGAATGAGAGTACTGTAATGCTGGCGTAGCTGTGTGAGAGAAATTTATCTGAATGAGACAGCAGCAACCGGTGATTTTCACAGTGTTTCTCTCTCCCTCAATCATGTGTTCACTTAGTGACCATTTCACTTAATGACTTGGTTGTTGGAATGCAATTCAGTTGTTAAACAAGGAGTGGGTGTACAACTCAACAGATTTGGAAAATGATTTATAATAGTATGAAAGAAATTCTAAAAGCTGAATTTCCTTTCCAACCTGCTATTTTTTAAAATTAAATACTACAAAACGTGATATTCCCACAAACTAGCTTTCTACATGGCAATTGCTGCAAGGAGCCTATACCCTTCTTATTGGAAAGTATGTACAGTTCCTTTTGCAGAAAAATTGTGGGAGTACATCTCCATGTCCAGAATAACTTTGTATTACAAAAGGAAATCTGACACAGAATTTAATTCAGCTTGGAAACAATTTTTGGATTATATATAAAAATACATTTGGGATGTATTTTTGTATTACATCCCAAATTTGGGTTTCTCCTAACATAAAGTTTTCCTGCTGGTATATTGCTCCAGTCCTGCTTGCTAAAATAGACAGCTCATTTTCTAAAAATTGTTGGAAATGTAACAATCAGATTACTAACTTTTAATAATCTGTTAAATAAGGATAGATTTTTTGCTACTTGGATAGAGGTTACTATAATTCCTAATCTTATTTTATGATCTGTATTGTGCTGATTATTGTTGTTGATATTTACTTATTACTTGGATTTCAATGCAGTTTTTAAAATGCTATAATATATTCAGGTATATAAAACAAATGAAATATTAAACATTCTTATCTAATTTTATGAAGCTTGTAAATTTCCTTTTATTTACTTTGTGTTTGGCTTTTCTTTTTGCCTTTTTTCTTGTTTGTCTTTCTTTTCTTTTTTTCCTTTCTTAAAAATGTTTCATAGAAATATAATAATAATGAAAAAAACAGAATGTGCATCCTTCTGATTTTGCAGAAATTCTCCAAATTTTGCAGGTTAGTTTTGCTTAAGCCACATGCCAAAATATGATAGATTGATAGACAGGTAGAAGTAAAAGGCATAAAAACACATCACTTTTGATGCCAAAAAATATGTGCAATACACCTTGTCTTAGCCTGTTCTACCTCACAGGCTATTGTTATGGAGATAAAGTTAGAGGAGACTAAAGCTGCTCCCAAAGAAAAGGTAGGATATAAAAGCAAGGTATATACTATATATACCTATAAAAATGTATTTTTATAGTGAAAAGTATAAACTGAGTCCACACCTTTTAGATTCCTACTGAAATAAATGCAGATTAACATGGAAGTTGGATAGACTGATTAAACTGACTATTGGTAATGCCTTGTCTCCTCACTCAGCCTGGATGTAAGCTATGTTTGCATCCAAGAGAACATATTTATTTATTTTTTATTTATTGGATCATGTTTATATCGCTGCCCATCTCACATAAGATTATCTGGATCCCTTTCAGTCAGGTTTCAGACTGGGACAGAAACAGCATTGCTCACACTTTTGGATGATCTCTGGCAAGAGTGGGATGGGGGTTGTGCATCCACCCTTGCCCTACTTGACCTCTCTGCGCCTTTTGAAACCATCGACCATGGTATCCTTCTGGATCGGCTCAGGAGATTGGGGTGGGCGGCACTGTGTTATGCTGGTTCACCTTCTTCCTCCAGGGCTGATTCCAGTCGGTGGTGGTTGGGGAGATCCCGCCCTTGGCCCCTGTTATGTGGGTGCCACAGGGTTTGGTACTCTCCCCGCTCCTATTTGATATCTACACGAGGCCGCTGGGTGAGCTCATCTATCGCCACAGGGTGAGGCATCATCAGTATGCTGATGATACCCAATTATACATCTCTGCCCCTGGCAAAGTAAGTGATGCTGTGGACAACTTATCCTGGTGCCTGGAGGCTGTGAGGGTCTGGATGGGGAACAACAAGCTTCAGCCGAACCCTCGCAAGACTGCGTGGCTTTGGGTTGTGGCCTTCTGGTTCTAGGGCTATGTCATCTTTGGTGTTGGATGGGGTGGCACTGCCCCAGACAGACCCTGTGGGCAATCTGGGGGTTCTCCTGGACTCATGATTCTTGCTTGAAGAGCAGGTGGCAGTTGTGGCTAGGAGGGCCTTTGCACAGCTTCATATTGTGTGGCAGTTGTGCCCATTCCTAGTTTGAGGGGCTCTACTCACTGTCCCTTATGCCCTAGTCACCTCCTGTTTGGATTTCTATAATGCACTCTACATGGGGCTGCCCTTGAAGAGTATCCAGAAGCTTCAGCTGGTGCAAAATGCAGTGGCGTGGGCAGTCACATATGCCCTAGAACAGCACATATCATACCTCTGCTCCACAAGTTGCATTGGCTGCCAGTTTGCTTCCGGCTCCAATTCAAGGTGCTGGTTTTGACCTTTAAAGCCCTTCATGGCATGGGGCTGGGTTATCTGAGGGACCGCCTCTTCCTGATTACATCTGCCCGCCCCATCAGGTCTGGCAGAGAAGGCATGCTGCGGGTCCCGTCTGCCAGGGAGTTACATTTGGCAGGTCCCAGGAGGCAGGCCTTCTCTGCCATGGTACCCGCTTTGTGGAATCTTCTCTCCCCAGAAGTGAGATTAGCTCCATCCCTCTCAACATTCTGCAAGTCCCTCAAAACTTGGCTGTGTGATCAGGAATGGGTGCCCCGGGGGACCGGGGAGATTTTGTGATGGCTCCCTTATTAATATCATCCTCTCTTGCTTTGTGTGGTTTTATAGTTATTTTTTAAAGTGTAACTGTTTTTATATTTTTATTGTTTTTAATTGTTGTACTCCACCCAGAATCACTTTTATGTGAGATGGGTGGCTATATAAATACGAATAAATAAATAAATAAATAAATAGTGACTCTGCAACATATGCCTCATCTTCAAGATACTATTCTGTTTGTTGCACAAGAAAGTTAAACCAAGGCCAAGGCTGGGTGCCAGTGAATCTGGCACCAGTGAAGGTGCAAAAAGAAAACAAGGACCTAATGACTACTTATGAGGGAGGAACTCAAGAGTTTGAAAGCAGTCATGCTCTATTTGTCTAGCAGGCAAGATTCATTGGTTTCAGGTGGGCATGTGCAACTACAATTCTCGCTGGAGCTGTTAAGCATTCGTCAAAAAATTCTCCTATTTGGAGAATAAGCAAAGTAAATGGACGTAAGTAGTGTAAGCCCTTCATTTTAGGTCTGTCCCTCTCAGCTGACTTCATAAGAGTTTGGTATTTAATTGATAGTTGGGTTGTTTGCTTTCCTTCTTAAAAAAAACACTGAGTTTAGCTAAACTGGCCTGTA